TTGGGGAAGAGAACTGGACAAACCTATTTTTACACATACTTTATCCTCTGTATAGTAGTCATTGGAATGACCCTTCTTGTTAACTCATTAGCCTCTATCTAAAGGAAGAACAAACTTCTGTCCTTAGGGCAGGAGAAAGTTAAACAACTGCCCTCTCATTGAAAATGAACACCATCTCATTTGATCTTTACATTTCAGAGGATGAGAATGAGGACCCAAGAAGACATGGGGGTTACAAGGTTGGCAAAAAGTCCATTTAGTTTTCCAAAGAGAAAAGTACATTTACTTAGAGTTTTTTCTAAAATAAATACTCCAAGGAAGAGGAGGGGGAGAAATCTTTTTTCCTCATTCTCAACAAGAGAACAAAGCTTCTGATGTTTACTTTATAATTGTTATTGCACTCCCTTTAATTTACTTTTATCTCAAATAAAACACCTTGATCTTGGTCACCTTATAGTAGCACTCTGAAACAGAACTGACTTAAATGCATATGTAATTGAGTTTTATTCCATTTTACCTTAGATTCTAATTTATGTTTTTCTAGGAAAAAATTTATTGTTAAATTTTATATAAATACTATTTCTTAGGAGAAATGCCTATAGTAGTAGGGCCTGGTATTCATTATGAGTACTTGACACAATCACCATATTGATAGATGACCAGCTTCTAATATTGGGTGGTTTGCAGCCCTACAGCAGAGAGGTATGTACTGTAAATGTGACTCCCAGCAGAAAAGTACACAAAGAATTTTCTTTAAAATTTGTGGGCGAGATGGAACTCAGCAGGTAGAGGAATCCTTCCTGTGTTCCATCCATCACCACACCTGGGTCCCATCCTAGCACCATATAAAATCAGGTATGGTGTTACATGCCTGTGATCCCAGCCCTCCAGAGGTTGAGGCAGGAGGATTGGAAGTCTAAGGTTATCCTCAACTACACAGTGAGACGGAGGCCAGTCTGGACTAGCAACTCTACCTGAAAAAACAAATATCCTCTTTTCTGAGGTCAAAGGTGTTTTTTTGTTTTATGTTTTAGACCTTACCAGGATTAAAATTTTAACATTTCTTAAACATTTCTTCAACAAATTAGGGGCAAACATTTATTTATTTATCATTTTTTAGTGATAAAGTCCATAGTTCTGCTCAAGGAATTTGGATCTATCCAATAATTTGACTTAGCTCTTATTTTCAGGTTTTCTAATCCATCTTCCTTTCCTTGTGCTAACTTTTCTAGGTTCACTTACAGATGTCCCACTGGTAGGCTGCCATGCTGTTAGGACGCCTTCAGGACCCTGTAACTGCTATGCCTTCCCTCTATGCCCTAGTACTCCTTTACTCCTCCGACATCGATTTCTGCAGGCCTTCATTAAGCCCCACGTCCTACACCTGCAAGGCTCAGCGTTTGCTCTCAGAGATGTAATTTTCTACCAGCCACTTTCTCCTCAGAGGAGGCCTGAAGGAAGTTTCCTCTCACTGAGTCCACTTTTGGCATCATAACCTCAGACCCACCATGACCTGAGCAGCTGTACCCTCAGTCCTATGAGAGTTACTCTCTCCCTCACCCCCCTCTAATGTCACTTTACTTTGACCAGCAAGTCACCTTGACCTGCTGGATCTTGTGATCAGAATCTTAAACTTTGATCTTTGCTGACTGATACATTCTGTGTATGGATTTCCTGTTTCTTCTTGAAGTTGCAGTTGGTAGAGTAGGAACATTTTTATTTCACTCTGGATTTAAGTGAAAAGAAATAGATGCCTGACTGAGTAGTTCTAGAAAAGGTAGCCCTTTCTTCCTGTCCCCTGTCATTTTACTATACCGGAGTGGGTTTTGTTTTTATTTTTTTTAACATTGCTTCCTGCCAGCCTCTCAAATGCGACTGTTTTGACTGATATTTGTAAAGAATAACCTTTAACTATTTCCTGAATTCTGTGAGGAAGCAGAATATCAGTATGTGGAATGTTGGAAAATTCACCTTGTGGCATCAGTAATTTTCCTGCTAGGAGTCTCTTTGCATGGAAATGAGAATTGAAAACTAATTACATAAATTACTGAGTTTTGAAGGATTTTTTTCAGGGTTTCTGCCTCTAGGTACCTGTTGCAGAAAGAGTAGCTCATTTCTAACAAGGAGAGTAGATATCCATCTCTATTCTTTAGCCTTACACAGATTTCAGGATTTTTTTGAACCATGAGCCTTAAAGTGCTTGCTTATTGTGAAATAAACTAAGCCTTCCATTTTAGCAATTATTTTAAGAGATTAAAAGTGATTTAGAATTTAAAGATAATCTTAACGTCAGAAGGCTCCCCCCACATACACAATAAGGTTTTTAAAAAAACTAATATGCCTATATGGTTGACTGAGAACAGTCTCATTCTTTATTTTTTATTTACCCCTTTGCATAGATCCCAAACCTCACTGGCTTATATAGCTTGGACCTTTCTCTGGCCTTTGAATTGTGTCATTAACAGCATAATCCAGGCCAGCTACTCATCTGTGCTCTCTGTCTATGGAGTTACCTCCATGTATGGAACCTGGATTTTGGCATGTTATACGAATGCATAGCAATTTCTCACTCAGAGCATTCTAGAAATGCAGAGGCCTTTTACAGACACCCTGTGCTTCCCAAGGGGACCCCCCGGATTAGAAAAGTGTGTGAGCCATAATGCCTGGAACTATGCTTTTCACTGAGCCAAGCACAGTGTTGTTGATTAATAAATAATGGGTTGTTTATCTTGGAATTGTTTTATTGGCAGATGTCCTGAAAGATTCAAAGGCTGTCTGTAAATGAAGACTGCTCCTATTGTTTATTCAGTGACCGTTTTTCTATTTAATATGAGGTTATCTTGTGAAAATTTCTTTAATAACAAACCACTAGTAAAACTTAGGCAGTTTTCTCTCTGGAGTTTTCAAATAGGCTATTTAACTACAACAATCTATGATGTCTTCTAGTGTGTATGTGTGTGTGTGTGTATGTGTGTGTGTGTGTGTGTGTGTGTGTGTGTGTGTGTCTAGCTCATTGTCTGTCTGTGGCTACAGGGGGAAAGGCAAAGAACATGATGAAGCCTTGAAATTTATTATTATCCATGAGTTACAAGTAGCTTAAATAAACCTAACTGCCTTTCTGTTCTCTCTCTCTCTCTCTCTCTCTCTCTCTCTCTCTCTCTCTCTCCCTCTCCCTCTCTCTCTCCATCTCCCTCTCTCTCAGTGTGTGTTTGGGTGTGTGTATGTGATGGTAGCTTCTAAGAATTTAGGTAGAAATACAGGCAGAAGAAAGACAGTAAGAATCACATGTGGAACATCAGAAGGGACTTACAGAGGAGATATGTTATTAGAGGATAAGTTGCTAGAGATAGGTTGATAGAGAATCACGGGTGGCAAGAAGTAGAACAGCTTTGTTCTGCAGGGGAGATAGTGTTTGAAGATTTGCAATGTGACCAGCAATGGCTGTTATTGCATCTCTATTTTCTTTAGTAATGCTGAGCACAAAGCAATGTGGGAATGGCCCTGGGGAAAGAGGAGAATTAGACCTATGAAATGTAATACCTGGGCTCAGTTTCTGGAACATAAATTCCTCCTGAACATATGGTCATGGCCAAAAAGGACATGAAGGGTAGAGTTGTGAGATCTTCCTGTGTCCTGTGCTCACATGATCTCAACATTCAGAAATCAAGATGATCCTGGTAGATAATTTATATAACCTGATGTAGTTACTGTGAAAGGGATGTGTATTAAAGGGGATGCTATTTTATTAGCAGTATTTTCATAGTTGTATGGTACACAGTAGGACTCAGCTCACGAGGACACCCTGCACAGGTAGTGTGCCGAGGAGGGTTTGGAGAATGGCTCCTGGGTTTGTGACTCATGAGAAAGGAAGACAGGAAAGCTCCACAGCACACCATTCCATCCCCAGTGTTTAGTAAATCACATTCACTGTGTGGTCCTGTTCAACAGTGGCAGTTGGACATGCAGCGCATAGACGTGGCTATTAGCAATTACATTTTAAAATTTATTCCTGTGGCTTCATGATCCCACTGCCATTCTTCATAAGAGCCACAGGTTAAAATATTGGCCAAACAGTTAAGATATCTTCCAGTGTGGCAGAAAAGCCTGGATAAAACAAATTTATAGTGCTTCTGTTAGGAATGGAAGATTGAATTTACTTGTAGGCTTTTTGTTTGTTTGTTTGTTTTTTGAGACAGATTCTCATTGACTGTTTTGTAACTCACTATGTAGCCCAGTGGCAAGCCTTGTGGCAATCCTTCTACCTAGCATCTCAAGTGCTAGTATTATAGCTGTGAGCTGCCATGCTCAGCCAAAGATTGAATTTCTTGATGCTTTAGAGAGTCTACAACTCAAGCATTTTTTCACCCAAGTTTATTGAAGTTAACTATTATGAAGTAATAGATAAATGAACTGAAATATGGAAGTTTTTTGTTTGGAAGAAAGTCCTTTTTTAATTTTATTAAGTTTTACTGTATTTTTAAGATACACAGCATATTGTTAGAGGATCTATAGCATGACTGTTAACTATTAACAGTCATAAAAAATTAACAACAGTCATAATTTTGCATTGCTACCAATTTTCCCTTCAGTGGTTAGAATTACTACATTCCACTCATTTAGGAAACATCCTGAATATGGGACTAGGGTATCATGATAAAGTGATTATATAATGATTCACTGATACTGTACTTATTTATAATAGCCTTGCATGTGAGGCCCTAGGTTGGATCCCCAGAGCCACAAGAAAGAGGGCAAGGGAAGAAAAGTGGAGGGAGGGAGGGAGGGAGGGAAAGAAAGAAATCCAGAGTACAGCACACTGTTAGCTGTAATATTCAGATTGCACTTTAGGTTTTTATGCTTAATCATCCTACATATTTCCTGTTTTGTATCCCGTTTTAATATAAAACAATATTCAGTTGTAAGCGACACAGAGTATGTGTGTGCTTTTGTA